TGCTGAACCCCAAAATTTCTCATCCCAGGAATACCACAGAGACCAAAGCCTTGTTTGAGCAGCACAAGCCCACCCATGTCATCCACCTCGCTGCCATGGTTGGAGGCCTCTTCAAGAACATCCGCTACAACCTGGATTTTTGGGTGAGCACCTGGGGAATGGGTGGTGTCGGGGTTCCTGTGGATGCTGCAACCCCCCGCCCTCCCCAAGCTGTGACACGAGGACATGGCTTGCTCTGCTTCTGGGGCCAAACCAGAGCTCCTCTGGTTTCTGGAGTTATTATCCACAGGGTTCAAGGTTTTTGGGGGGTCCCCACCCCACAGATCTGACAAATCTCTCCATCTCCAGAGGAGAAACATCCATATCAATGACAACGTCCTACATTCGGCATACGAGACAGGGGTGCAGAAGGTGGTCTCCTGCCTCTCCACCTGCATCTTCCCAGACAAGACGACGTACCCCATTGATGAGAGCATGGTGAGCATCTCCATCCCCATGCACCACCTGGGAGATATGATCCCTGCCCTGCTTAATTCTCTGCTTTCTTGTCCCCAGATTCATAACGGGCCACCTCACAGCTCCAACTTTGGCTACTCCTACGCCAAGAGGATGATCGACATCCAAAATAGGTGTGGGGAGGGACATGGGACATCCCTTGTAGGGCTTTTGAGTACCCACCACTTACCAGAGCAAAGGGAATCACCTGGGATTCCCAGGAATTAAATGGAGTTGGGGAGATACCTGGGCTCAGCAAATGGAGATGCTGCTGGATGGGGTCTTCTGGGGACAGCTCTGTACTGGAGGGGGAGGTGACTGCAGCTGGTGGACAACCCATCTGCACCTCCCCTGCTCTCACCCAGGGGCTACTTTGAGCAGTATGGCTGCCGCTTCACCGCCGTCATCCCCACCAACGTCTTTGGTCCACACGACAACTTCAACATTGAGGATGGCCACGTCTTGCCGGGGCTCATCCACAAGGTCTACCTGGCCAAACGTGAGTGGGACAGGACTTCTTCATGGCTTTTTTTGGGAGAGTTGGGTTGGTTTTGTTTTTGCCTGCTCCATGAGCTCATGAGCTGCTCTGCTGGGTAGTTGGCAGGGGTGGAGGTGGCTCTGATGCTCATGGACATGTTCTCCTTCCTTCCACAGAGACCGGCTCAGCTCTGACCATCTGGGGCACGGGCAAGCCCAGGAGACAATTCATCTACTCCCTGGTATGTGTGGTCACAGGGAGCACTGATCTCCCATGGCCTGAGGAGGGCAGGGGATGGGGTGGCCAGTGCCTGGACCTTAGCCGACTCTGCTTAGCAGAATCTGAGCCCACCTGGGTTGTTGTCCTGGGCAGTGTTGGCCATCCTCAGGGTTGGGTCCCCTTGCGATGGGAGGGCTGAGGGACAGCAGCCACCCCCCAAGAGCTGTCTGCCCCTCCGCAGGACCTGGCCCGGCTCTTCCTTTGGGTCCTGCGGGAATACGATGAGGTGGAACCCATCATTTTGTCAGGTAAGGTCGGTCTGTCCCCCCACAATCCCCTTCCAAGCCCCTCTCCAAGAGGATGGAGGAACAGCCATGATCATGTCCTTTCTCCACAGTGGGAGAAGAAGATGAAGTGTCCATCAGGGAGGCAGCAGAAACGATTGTGGAGGCCATGGACTTCAGAGGAGAGCTTGTTGTATCCTTCACCACAGACTGGTCCCTCTTGCTCATGGGGCTGTTGCAGCATGTGGGGCACCCCACTTTCCACCAGCAGCCATAGGGCT